GAGTAAATATGGATTCCAATTGCTCAGAGAACTCAATAGTCCCATTTTCTCCCATCTTCCTCCCCTCTATAGTCTTCAGTATACATTTAAATAACACAAGTGCACTAAATCTGTCTACATCTCTTTACAGAAATATGGATCTCTTCCCTCCAGGTATGTAAAATAAGAGTGTATGAAAGAGAAACAAAACACTGTAATTCTAGTCTCTTTCCTATGGATCTTGGAAGGCATTTCAGAAAATGCCTTCACAGAAAAAGTGTCAAGGAAGAGTTGATCAAATACATTTGTTAGCTTTTTCGAAATTCTTATTAAGAAACATGGTAACAGAATCCATGCTTTTTTCAAAGCAAAATATGTGTACAATATTCCACATTGTCAGCAAAGAACACTGAGACATGTCTCAGCAATTCCAATGTGCTGAAGCATATTTACTCAAAAGTAAACTCTGCCATGTTCACCAAAATTTAATGACAAATAAACAATGGATTGCAAGCTCCTGCAAAGTTGATGCTATGAAATCATAAAAAATTGAAGAAGTCATAATGGTATTCATTTCCAGCCCTGAACTCCTTCATTTCAGAGCGTATGGCTCCCAATCAAAGAGTGATTTTTAGGCTTCAAGAATGGAGAGATGTTTCCCAGATCTTCTAAATGAGATTCTTGAGATGTGTGCTTTCAATCTTCAAAATTATATGCTCTGCCACTGAAGCAAGGTTCTCGTAGATATATACTATCCTGCAGAAGGATAAAGTAACTGCTTTTATATTCTGAGTTCTTGCTCAGAATTTTCAGTCCCATCAATTAATAGGACAAGATAGGAATTGAATATTTTAAAAGCAGATTTATGAAGTGTTTGAGTTTGGGAAAATATTAATGGAAATTAATACATATCCAGGTCTGAACTTCCCTATCAGCACCCAGCCGAAGGCATATACAGTGCAGTTTCTTTTAAGCCTGACTTCCACCAAGAGGATGTAAAGATGATGGTGTGGAAGCGTCTGCTACGTAAAATCCTCCCAGGTATGGCTGCTGCTGGAGGAGAGGAAGAGGGGAGGCTGTTTCATGAGCACTTCCACATACAGCACTTAAACATTTGTGAATATATGTCTTTATCATGCATTACTTCTTTTCAGCGATCAGAGCTAAGAGGAATGGGGTTGAGACTGTAAAGCTAGCAAATGGCAATGGATTTTGAGAGTGCTATCTGTGTTTCCTGAGTTCTGCAATCACATTTTGACTATTATGAAAAACTGAGGCCCATTCGTACAATTCTATTCTATTGTTTATGTTTATGTTTATTTAGATTTGTATACCGCCCTATCTCCCTTACGGGACTCAGGGCAGTGAACAGGCGATAACAAAAATCACAATAAATGTCTATTCTAAAATCAAATTAAATAAATAAAGGCCTGCTCTAAAATACCCCATATAAAAAACCTATACTAAAACCTAATTAAGACTATGCCAGGCCGGCCGCACGAAATAGATGAGTTTTCAGGGCTCGGTGAAAAAGGCGCAGGTCCGCAGTTGTACGTAGGTCGGGGGGTAGGTCATTCCAGAGGGCAGGAGCTGCCACAGAGAAGGCTCTCCCCCTGGGGGTCGCCAGCCGGCATTGACTGGCCGACGGCACCCTAAGGAGGCCCTCTCTGTGGGAGCGGACTGGTCGAAGGGAGGTATGTGGTAGGAGGCGGTCTTGCAAATATCTAGGTCCATTGCCATGGAGTGCTTTAAAGGTTGTTACTAACACCTTGAAGCGCACCCGGAAGGCCACAGGCAGCCAGTGCAGCTCACACAGGAGAGGTGTTACATGGGAGTATCTAGAGGCCCCCAAAATCCCCCGCGCGGCCGCATTCTGAACTAGCTGGAGCCTCCAGGTGCACCTCAGGGGGAGCCCCATGTAGAGAGCGTTGCAATAGTCCAGGCGGGAAACGAGGGCTTGAGTGACCGTGCGTAGAGCGTCACGATCCAGAAAGGGGCGCAACTGGCGTATCAGGTGAGCCTGATGAAAAGCCCCCCTGGCCACGGCTGTCATATGATCGTCTAAAGACAGCCGAGTGTCCAGGAGGACGCCCAAGTTGCGGGCCCTCTCCGCGGGGGCTAATGACTCACCCCCGATAGCCAGGGATGGAGCCAACTGGCTATGTCGTGACGCCGGAAACCACAGCCACTCGGTCTTGGATGGGTTGAGTCGAAGCCTGTTCCTCCCCATCCAGACTCGCACGGCCTCCAGGCACCGGGACATTACTTCCGCGGCATCATTGGGGTGGTCCGGGGTGGAGATGTACAGCTGGGTGTCATCTGCGTACTGATGAAACTCCACCCCGAAACCACGGATGATCTCACCCAGTGGCTTCATATAAATGTTGAACAGGAGAGGCGAGAGGACCGACCCCTGTGGTACCCCACAAGTGAGGCACCTCGAGGTCGACCTCTGCCCCCCTGCTAACACAAATTGCGACCGGTCCGAGAGGTAGGAGAACCACCGTAAAACGGTGCCCCCCAACCCCAACCCCCCTAACCGGTGCAACAAGATACCATGGTCGATGGTATCAAAAGCCGCTGAGAGGTCTAGCAGGACCAGGATAGAGGAACAGCCTCTATCCCGAGCCCTCCAGAGATCATCAACCAACGCGACCAATGCCG